ATTTAAAGAATATATTTAAGGATATATTAAATATCTCTTTTAAAAAAGATTAGCGATTAAGTGTAGCAATTGATTAAGATTTAGTAGCAACTGATTAACAATCAATTTATGCAGAATATTTAAGTTTATTTATATTATGCACTTTTATTATGAAATGACGTTAGCCAAGAAGGGCTGTTAGTCTCAAAACAGGATTCTGCATCATGAAGTGCATCACTTTTCAAATCGTTGCCACCAAACATTATTGTTCTGTATTATATTAAATTTAAAGAAATTAAATAATAAAGAATCTGCATGAACGAACGTATGTATGTTTCTCGCATAGTGAAAAGAACAACGTCATAGTGAAAAGAGCCATCAAATTTTGAATAACGTAGCCGTCCATCCGAATATGAGCACCTGGAAACCAGTATTTGGAATTTTTATTTTTTTAAATTTTATTTTTTGCCTATTTCTTATTTTGTAAAATTTTAACGAATTTTTGATTAAAAAACACAACGATTTCAAAGCGAGCAGCGGGGAGAGGGGAAAAAAAAAAAAAAAAAAAAAAAAAAAACTACTAACAGATAAACAGGTCTTAAGAATTTTTGGCTGGTCTGAAATATTGTATCAAAATATAAATTTTGTGGAAGTAAAACTCGTACGGATTCCAGCATCTGTATTTCTGATGTTTGATATGGATTTCGATATTGAATATATTTGTGAAACTGAATGCATGAATTTTCCCACACAATTTGATTTTATGCCATAATTTCAAAACACCGCTACATCCGGAACGCAGAACAATGGGATACGTTTGTTGATGCGATTGCCGTTACGTAATCCACGACTGTCTTTTTTTTTTTTTCGTAATGTGCTCTCCGGAAATTATTCCAGCCTACACCGGAAGGATGAAGAGCGGAAAAAAAATGTATGGGAGAAAAATTAACTCACTTTGCTGTTTTTTTGTTTTTCATAAAACTTGTCCCCAGTGTATACAATTGCACGTCATCGATAAGGTACTTTACGTGTGGATAAAAATCGTGCCATATTTCCGAATTAAAGCCGTTTCCGAATGGTAAAAATATTCAAGTCTATGCATATTCATTCTGAATAATTCTGATATAATTTTATCTATATGATAGGAGTAATGTATCAGTATGAAATTTACCTTAATTATGCGTAAGAAAGAATTACCTTTTTTTTGGAGAAAATTGTTTCAAACATGATCCAACAGATGGCAGCACTACCACAGTCAGGAATATTTGAACCAAATGTTCCTCCCCTGTTATTATAGTTATTGACTAGAATGTTAAAACGTGTTGATATTTCTGCGCAGTTAAAAAAAGTAATAAAAAGAATTTTTTTACAACAACAAATCAAGAATTTAATTAACTGTTAATGATTAAATATTTAAAATAGGGCACAAAAACCATTACCATGTATTTTATATTATTTTCATTTCGTTATTATTACTTTAAATTTATTCAAAGTTAAAAAAATATAAAACATCAAACAAAGAGTGATTGTATTGGATTGAAATTGATAACCTCTTTCCGATTACCTGTTTCTAATTTGATGAAAAATTAATGTCACTGGATTTAAATATTTTAAAAAGGAGCAACTTTTGCGTAACACTTAAATATCCAAATGGTATAGTATATGCTTCGGATATTCTTCCAGGAATATCTAGTATTAAAACCACGCTAAGCCAATAATTCTGGTGCTAAACAAAATCAGATCTTTCGGGAATGGAATATTATTCGATCGCATCTCAATTTGGAAAATTTTGAATGTTGCCAGTTACTATATTAGGGTGAAAAAAAGCTTAAAAAAGTAACACAAACAAACAAATAAATAAATAAAAATAAAATAATAATAAATAAAAAAGTAAATAAAGTATTAATAAATAAATTATACAAAATCGTGTTTTGAGTCAAAATAACTTTTAAATATCATATTATTTTGTATATAGAATATAAATTAAATGATCAAGTAGATTCTGAAAAAAAAATTTTTTTTTTTGATTTTATTTCATCAAGAGCAAGAAAAAATTTAAAAATGCTTGAATATTAAAGAAATAATTTTTATGTTAATTGCTATACTATTCATATTTTTTCAGTGCTACTTTTTTTTATCAAAAATACACTTTTAACGGTTTTTTTAAATACTAAATTATTATATATACTAATTTTTTGAATGGATAAAATTATGATTAAACTATTATAAGAGTTAAAGGGTTTATGTAATTACCCTTGTTGAATATGTACGTATATAGATACATTTAATTTGATTGTATATACTACCGCGCATTTACCTCAAGTGAAAAAATAATTTAGGCACGGCTCTGTTTAATACCTTGAAAGATTCTTTTAGTGCGTGATATGAAGATTAGTTAATTTCTTTCTGACAAGTAAGGCAAATTCCTCGCGTCCTTTGCATATAAATAACCATTTGTAAAATTTCCTTTAATTATAGGTCATTGGTTATTTCTTTGGATGTAATGAAATCTTCCATTTATATTACTGGAAGATATGCTGTCCTCCTAGAAGATAGAAACTTTTATATACTTGGAGGATATGGTCCTTTAGACACTAGAGGAGTACATATTCTCAAGTTTTCTAGCCATAGGTGCATATCTTCGAGTTTTATAACCATATTTATATAGCTGTAGAATGTAATACGCGACAATTAGTAATTTTTCATTTACATATGGAACAGGGAAAGAAATTAGCTGCAGTGTTCTGCTATTTTCAGCGCTGAAAAACAGACTATAGTTAAAATATCCTGCTGCGAAGGTTCCGTAACATGGCAGCGACGTATGATTTATTATGACATCCTTCTGTAGTCTTCGTCGATAACTGCTTCGAAAGTTAACGTTCATCATGATATTTCCCGCTTAGCTGCATGTCTTATTCATCATTGTTGTCGAAAGTACGAAATGATTTAATTGGAGATTGGAAGGGTGGAGGGAAGTGGCGCAAATCTGCTAGGCCACGTGGGTCACCCCTGCGTCGCTTCCTGCGCTTCTTTCCTAAGAAGGAAGTTTGTCCATGCTTAATCGCATCATCCCCATTTGCAAAAGATTACATAATCTGCAGGGTCCTGCTCATTCGCCAAAAAATCACATGTCACGGCTGTATATGTATGTCGTAAATGCGACTGGATTTGTAATTGTCAGCTCCGACTCGGCGGTGGTGGTGGAAGGATGCTCCAATTGCCCGCATCCCCAGCTGGTAATAGGTCTCTTCCTTTCCCGTCCGAATTTCCTCTGGCTCCAGGAAACGCATTTCATTACCAACTCTGTCGCTTCCTCTTGTCACCGGCGGCCCTGATTTTTACAGCTTTAACCCTAGAGGAACTGCTGCACTTTGCCTGTATTAACGGCACTATTTCAAAAACATAGTGACACGTCATCGCCTGCGAGGTTATTGTCGTTAGTCGTGGGACGGGAGAAGGCTCTCGGCACCATCCCATACTTCTCCTTAGGTCCGATGTAGGCCCACTTTGTGAAAGGAAAAGGAAGAATAGAAGCTACTAAAGTAATGATATGTGAAATAGCTTTTATGGAGGGTGTTTTGAATTCATTGAGTAGTCTAGAAGAAATTCAAATGAATTCTTTAGTTGTGATGTTTTATAAATAACATTATAAGCTGTCATTGCTTAAAACATACTTCCCCATTTTTGGGGGGGGGGCGGGGGTTGCCACCTCTGTTTCGATAATTATTTTGCTCGGCCGCTTTTTCATATTTGTTTATCGCCTCCTCTGCTCTTTTAACAATGATATAGTAGATATTCTTTAAATGTAATCTGGAGACGCTGAATAAAAAGCATTGAAATTTTTAAATGCTTATTTCACGTGCACTACATCGAATTGTTGATTAAAATTTAGTACGGGGTATAGAGATAGAATGGTACTAAGTGAAAACTTCTCATATCCTTTACAAGAAGGAATATGACAAGTATAGTATACATAAGATACAATAATTCCAACTTTTGAATTAGCACTCTACATTCATTACAGTTAAGTAGCTATCATGGAGCTCTCTAAGATTGCTACCACTCCGCTAGTGTATATTCGGCTTGTTGACACAACCGATAGATGAAAATGCCCCTGAAAAGAAAGCAACTGCGTCAAGAAATAGTTTCGCCCGCTGTTATTCAGCTGTGTAAATCACGCAGTGATAATTCTTGCGCAACAAACATTTTGTAGGGATCGGAAGGAAAATGTTCGTGAAGAATTTGACGCGTTGAAGATTGGATATTCCTAAGGCGACTGTATGTTTGCGAGTGGAGCGTCTTCGAGATCTTGAAATCGACTGTCAAATTGCTTTCACATTTTCTTGTCATCATAACGGTCCATCGTTATTCTCGGAATTTTTTCGTTACATTCCCTTTCATTGCAGTTGTCCTGAAAATCTTTACCTACAAAACAACTGATTTTCGGTTGAGAACCGGATGATTCCGAAATACTGTATGCACGTTGCACCGCCACATAGTTCGGAAAAATGGGCTTCGACCGCAAATGCGCACAGTTCTCTCGTTCAGCTGATGAGAGATAATAAACAGAAACTTCATGGCTTCTGTTGAGGGATAATAAACAGAAACTTCCCCGAATTTTTTATTCGTCAGCCCATCCCCACTATCCTACGACTTCTTCTTCCTTCACATTGCGCCTTTGGTGAAAAGGAGGTTTGTGTGATTTTTGTAGCTCACGAATATACATGGTCTCTAATCAACTCAGTTTGATTCCACAAAATCATGAACTCTCAAAGAATTATAATGTGATCCAATCCTTTTTAAGTTATCTGAACTGAATTCAAACATCTGTTCATTTGCCCTATAAATTGCATCAATCGTTTTGGTGTAACTTTTGTTATATAATTAGGTTGAATAAATATACTTACAGATTTCTTCCTACAAATGACTGTTGATCGAATGGTTTTAAATTCTGTTACATTTTCTGTCAACTTTTCTTTTTTTAATAGCTTTTCTAATTTATTTCTTTTTCTCATTTTCAGGCATGGAGACAAATATCACACTGTGGCAATTCCTGTTAGAGTTGCTACTTAGCAACCAGTATACGCACATCATTACTTGGACCAATAACGATGGTGAGTTCAAATTGCTGAACGCTGAAGAAGTAGCTCGACTATGGGGCCTGCGCAAGAATAAGCACAATATGAACTATGACAAACTATCTCGAGCGTTGCGGTATTACTATGACAAGAATATCATTAGAAAAGTTCTTGGTCAGAAATTTGTGTATCGCTTCGTCTCGTTCCCAGAAATTGTCAAAACGGAGAACAAGATACCTTTCCATGTCAAAATGGAGACAATCAATAAAGCTCAGCAGCCTTTCAGACAATCATCACCTTCTCCTCAACATGCTCATAAGAGTCCACCTTATGGCTTGCCTAAACCTGAACCGCTTTCTCCGAAGAGACATCAAGAACTGTACGAAGGACGACCCAACGGGCTTTGGTTGTTGTCACCTCGTCATGTACCATCTGATTTGAGGAGAGAAAGCAAAAGATCATTCAGCGATGACGACGATGACATCGCTCCCTCACAGGACCATGACGATGGTTCGTGTGAACTTCCTCGAGACCTATCAACCACTGGATCATCCAAACGCATCAAGTCTGAACCTGAAACAAGTGATTCTTGTCATTCGCCTTCAGGCTCATCTGGTAGCGGAAGTCCAGCTCCTTCCCTAGGAGGTGGAAGCACAGGTTCCGGCACGGTAGTATCAATACCAAGACCAAAGCCAAAGCCTCCGCCGATAGGTCCCATATCAACATCAGCTGCCGCTGCTTTGGGTTCACTGCAGACACCCATTGTAACATTCGCTAGCCCCTTCTTGCCTCAGAGTAAAACTCCACTGGTGACTTTACCTTTTTGGAGCCCATTCGCTCTTCCTAGCCCTAGGGGCTACTCCACTTCTGGTAGTGGCGGCACTCATTTCCAATTCCCTAGCACACATGTGGGCCTGGCCTCCTTTCCTCCGCTCAGTCCATTCCTGGGACATCCGTATTCACCTTTCGATCCACAACTGCTGCTTTCACCTGCAAAATCCATCCCAGTGCTTCAGTGAGATTTACAAGTCCTTATGCTTTCATAATAGTGTATGATGTGGTTATTGGCACACTCGCTTAACCTGTTACTCGACTCTTGTTCCAGCATCTTCAAAGAGAACTCGTTTGGATGCTGTTTCTTCCTGTCTCTCAAGTGCCCTCAAGATGTTTCTGAAAACTGATCTCCGAGCCTCTTTCTCAGTAGGTAGCTAACAGATTAATCTACAAGTACAGTAGAGGCTATCGAATAGCTATTTCAACTGCATGTGATGTTTTCTAAGGCGGCAATTAGTTTGATCAGAACTGTCCATTTATCCTCAAAATTTATCCTATTCTACATGGACAATCAATCTCAGTTCGAAGCAACTGAAATATTCATTTGTTTGGAAAAATATCTATGTTTTAATTGAAAATAAATTGAATGCATAAAAATTGAACTTTAGTGTAACCCAAATGTAAATTTATGATGAATTTAGTGAAATTAGTTATATGGACAATGCTTCAGTTTTGAAAACATAATTCAAGAAATTCTGCTCTGTGATAAAACGTCTAGAAATGGAATCGGAACATTTTACGTTTACCATTGCTTGACCTGTAGAGACCAAAAGCTGCGCAGAAATCAACAGATTGAACACAAAAACTTACCTTCAGTAGTTTGTTCTAATGCTAGTCGAATGTCAGTAGAATTTCTCAGAGCTTCGAACGTAAGAATCATCCTTATCATGCCAGGTGATTTCTGTGAATGAACTTTTCTGTATTCTGTTTATTCTAAAGAATGATGACATTTATTAGCTAAGTATGTTTTTGTATTATAGTTATTTTGGCCCGATATATTCAACATGTATTTTCGAAAATAATTGGTGCATCCAGCGCTTAGGATGATTTCATCACTTTTTGGGTTGAGCCTGACTGGACTGTGAGTGGCTGAGCCTGGATGACGTCATCTACCTCAAAGTACGAGAGGCCTCGTATCATCTCTGCTCAAAAGAATCGATCCAGAATCCTTATAACCAAGAAGTGCCTGGAAAAGATTTTAAAATGTGTATTTTCGCCGTTGTATCCCGTTACAGATTTTATTTCCTACAGATGAACTTGTTTTTTATCAAGGGACTTTCATACTTGAGTATCTTCATCACAGAATAAGCCCGTTTTTGCCTCTTCTTGTTAGCTGGAGGATTCGTGGACTAGTGCTGTTTTCATTGAAAGTGTGTTTTAAATTCTGTAGGCGTCATCTAAGACTGTTGCATCTTCTGTGGGTGTCATCTCAGACTGTTGCATTGAGTTGAATTAAGTGCATCAGTGTCTTAACTTCTCGCTGTCTGTACTGTATTCAGTTGAACTCTTCTGTTTGTGCAATAAGTTACTTTCTCTATTTTGAATGATTCTTAAAGATATTTTTTAAAGAAATATTGAAGTTTATATCGGATAAGAAATTAGAAACCAGCAGATTAAATTTTTATATTGTGTATTATTTCGCAAGAACTAGTATACCACGTTCCTTCTCTGTAAGTTGTAGGTACTTAGCTGTTTCAGCATAGAAGAAATATTTTTTGACGAGTTACTATAAATAATTCTGTATTAAATTGATCAGTTAATATGGATTTAACAAAAAGAAAAGTGTATGTGACAGTGTTGAATATTTGAGAATTTCCTAAAAATATAAGTTATAATTTATAATTTTTTCAAATGATTCTTAAATATGTTTTTGTTTGAAAATGAGCTTCTTTAAACATGAGTTTCATGCTTAAGGAAGGAAGGTAAGCATGCTATTGACTGCAAACTAGCACAAGTAAAGTCTTCATTCTAAATGAAGTTTTAAGTACAGTTCTTTTTTAATACCATAGGAATATAATTTTATAAAACGAGTTATTCAGAGACTATTAATTATTTAAAAAATCAGCAATTTTTCTATTATTCTGGACATTAACCTAAAAATAGATATCTTTTGCACGTTTAATAGCAGTTACCTATACATTAGTATTATTTTCATACTTAAAATAAATATCTACTTATATCGCTTAACTATTTTCCTCTTTTTCGTATTATCCGTAGGTGTACAGCGTACCGTAATTTGTTATGGATGTAATTATAATTGCATATGAAAATAATACCAAATATAAATGCAATAAATACTGTTGGTTTCGGCGAATTTTGCTCATTTAAGGGTTGTTTTGTACAGATAGTAAGGATAACTAAAACAAAATGTACAGATGTCTTCTATTCTTGTATGCATAGAGACGGACCAATTGCGGCCTTGTATCATAGTGCTCTCTTAGATGAGCTCCTTCTGTATTGAAATACATTATTTACTGTTAAATAAAAGGTATTATACAAAAATATGATTTTTCTTTTCTTTTTTCTTCGTAGTCTTTCTTACTGTTTATGCGGTAGAATCTTCCTTAAGGGGACTCATACACCTTAAACCCCTCATGATCTTCGAATATGTGACTATTGCAAGAATTGGGATATTTTATTTATTTTAAAAGCAATTACTTCATGATATAGCTGCTTTGGAAACTAGTAACCAGAAAGTTTGTGTTGCCACAAATAGTTTTGTAATTTAATCCTCTTTGTGGCAAAATATTTCGCCATATTTCCACCTTGCGCGCGTGATATTTTAAAAATGGCTAATGGTACATACTTGAAATTGGATGGAATTCTTTATATGGGCACTATTTTCTAACTGTACCAGCAATCTGATGAATATTTTAATTTTAAAAAATTTTATGGACGAAAATATTACACATTTTTTTAATAAAATACATTTTATAAACTCATCACAAAATAAAATAAAAATTTAACATGAAATTTTTAGAATTTTAGGTTCACAGTAGTTTCCAGATATTATAAAAGCTATATATTAAATATAGAATTAAATGATGAAACAGAATGTTTTAAACTGTGCGCGCAAGTTGGAAACATTTGGCAACACAAACGTTCTGATTACTGTTTCAGAAAGCAGCTGTATTATATAGTCATCTGTAAAAAGTTGGTAGTAATTGCTTTTAAAATAAATAAGTTATCCGAATTCTTGCAACAGTCACCTATTCGAACATCTTATGGATTTTAAGGTGTATGAGTCCCCTTAACACGCCGCTGTTCAAATCTTATATGACAAATACACAATTCTTCCTTAACAACCTTCCATCGTCATCGCTAGTAACTTTTATAAAAATATTTTGTTACAAGTATAGTTTATTTCTCCTCCGTAACGTAATAAATTAACTGACAGTGTACCAGGAATACAATATGGTACGACATCAGTCACAGCATCCGAAATCTTTGTAGCACTGATCACAGTATGAGTGCTGAGACATTGATCATAATCCTGAGAGATGAATCTAAAACTTGTCACACAACGAGTCATGAGATTTTGGTGATACTGATCAGGTAATGAGAGCTTTTTACTGCACACACTGATCACACCTTCTGTGGAGGTGGTCGTCTTATTCAGTTATCATATCGCAAATTTCACACATTCTGTGACACTGAAAATGAGAACTAATGTTTGACAATATCATAACCAACTAGTACCTCAGAGACCTCAAGGCCCATAGAATAGCAAGTGTCTATGATGACCACCTTCACAGAAGGTGTGACCACGGTCTCTAGTACCTCACAGAAGGTGTGAAGGTGGTCATCATAGACACTTGCCATTCTACGGGCCTTGAGGTATCTAGTACCTCACAGAAGGTGGTCATCATAGACATTTGCCATTCTACGGGCCTTGAGGTCTCTGAGGCACTAGTTGGTTATGATATTGTTCAAACATTAGTTCTCATTTACAGTGTCACAGAATACCAAACACTCCGTTAAGTATAGGGCCCAGTAGCTGGTGAGCGGCAAAGCTGCTAAATACTGGTAGTTCGGTGCGGAGTTCGAATCCGAGCAAAAGGTGTGGCTGTATGAGCTTTTTCATGTATTTTTTTTTTTTTTTTTTTTTTCATGTGTAACGTGTATACAAGCCAGTTTCCCTTAGAAAGTCATCCCGAAAGCAATTCACCTTTTAGGCAGAAAGCCCTCGAGTGCTTTGCATGATCAAATAACCCAAGCCATCAAGTATAGTCGACTTTCTTTAAGATGACCACTTCCAACTGATTTCGGTCTTGTGCAGAAATTGTCGGTCTGTCACACTGCGAGTCATGTGGCCGAATCTCTGTGGCATTCATAATGAACCCTCTCTAAAACTATTCAAACGGTTTCATATGACTGATCTTCTGTGGAAGAGAGAGTCTCCTGAGAGTGTTTATATATGCTGAAACTCATAGCATCTAATATTTCAAAATATGTCTGACATTTCTAAATAAAACTTCAATTAAACTTATCGGTGCTAAATTTTGCATTTCTTTCAGAAGTCATCGAATATAGTGAAAGAAAGTTTTTACGCACCTAAAAATTTGAATATTTTCCTCCTGTTAACTGTATATTTTGGTCAAGTACAGTAAATATCCAGTTAAACGCTTTTACTGTTAATGGTGAGCCACTCCAAATTTTTGCACACCTGTGAAAAAGATGTTTGAGGCATCGAATTAATGTTTTAAAAAAATGCTAATTATATTGAAATATGAATAGCATTTAAAATAAGTATGATGCAATCAAGAAATATTTTGATTTTTCTTGAGAAAGAATTTTTGAGAAGATACGAATACTATGTGACACATTTGTGCACAGTAAATGATAAATTATCTTTACTTACTTTTTAAATGTCAGGTTGTGTACGTAAAACAATTTTAATTTCATAAACATTTTAAGAAAACAAAATTCTCTACTGAAAGGGCAGTTAAGAAAATATTTATTTTGTCGTCTTACCTGTCGACCATATGTTCGAGACCAAATTCAGTTGTGGAAAAATCATTCTGATATGTATTTTAAAGAATGTTTATTAGAAAATTGTAGTTTAAAAATTTAACGTTACAGTCAAACAGAAAGATAAGTTGACAATTAAAAATTAGAAATCAAGAAAATATAAAAACTAAGAAAATATATGATTGTATTCTAGTTATATAACTTATGACGTTAGAAACACCATTTTTTAATGAATATAAAGTTGCAAATGATTATAAATTAAAAGTGTTTTGAATTTATATCAAATTAAGTGCATCATTAAAAAAGTGAAACATATTCGAACACATTTAATTCGTTAAATAATACATCACTGCCGCCCAGACGTGACAATGGTTAATGAACTCTGATACTGTATCCGAAGGGCGGAGGCTCGAATCCCGGAGATGGCATGGATGCTTGTAAATGTATAGTGTCTGTGCGGCACGGGAGCACTCTAAATATAGGACGAGTCGAAAATCCTTTCGGGTGGTTTGGTAGTAGCCGGGTCCTTTAAAATTGGTGTGGAAATAGAAGTCAAACCTCCTTGATGTCTGGCAAACAATCTTCAATGAAATGTGGACTCGACAACAAACAATATTGCATCACTTTTTTAATTCTGAAAATATCTGAATTACTCATACACTAGTGTTCAAAACTACAGACACATTTTTTACAGCAATTCAGTATAGATCGCATTAATAATCTTAAAATATTGATGTCATATAATTCGAGGAATGGTAAATGGTAAATATCATATAAGCATTTAATTGTCAAAAGATTAAAAGGTTATATTTTTTAAAGAAAACATGAAAGTGACTAGTTTCCGAATCCTTGAAGTTCGTCTATAGAACTGTGTTTCATCGACAAAAACATAACTGGGATTCAGAAAAAAAATCATAATCCTCATTCATTTCAGTTAAAATGATTTCTCGCAATCATTCAGACGGTGGATCGAGATTGAGAAACGTCTGTAGTCTAGAGGCTGGAGCATAGCAAGCGGAAGTCGCTCAATGGTTATGCGTTTTTTAAAAGATGATACCCAAGTTATGGCACCAATTCCAAGCCAGAAGTACCATCATCAAGAGGTCCAGCGAAGGCTGCCCAAGTATATGACATTCGCGGAAAATGAATACATGTCATTAAAAGCACGACATCATGCAGAGAGGGCTAAAGAGTTCTCTCAATACCTCGTTCACGCATCTAGAACAAAAATTTCTGGGAAAAGTGTATACAGATGCCTTGCAGAAAAGCCCTTTACACCAGCAATCAGTGGCATGTATGCCTTTCAAACGATCGTGGAAGAGAGTCCTTTTTTTCCTGGAGGATACATTCTTGGGCGCAACGAGCTTGGAGCCGTTTTCTCTTATTTGATGAATTGAGATTCAGTACATAGGATGATTCTGAATGAGTATGCATCTGGAGAGAGTCTGTAGACTCTCCAGATGGAACATAAGTTGGAGGCTCCGATTTTGTTGGAGACTTTTCGTCTTTCCAGTATAAGGAAAACCGACCTGTTTGTAGAATTGAAATCCTTGTGCGAAGAAGCATCTTGTTTGACGACCACACACTATTGCATATCTTCAATACAGGCAGTCCTGATCGCATAGCGTTATAACATGATGCAACAGAATTTTATGTGAGTAGAAGTAATACGGTAGTAAATAAAATATTTTTCTTTGCATTTAATTTTCGATTTAATCACAAAAGTTTATTTTATACATATGTAATTATTATTATTATTTCGATTAAAAGTCATTTCATAGGGTATCTATGTCATTTTTTAACCGAAGCTGATGCTTTCTCAAGATATTTTATTTTCGAGAACGAAAAGCATAATTTGATTTTTTTTTTCCTTGCGGAAGGCATATAATAACACTTCTAAAAGAATAAAATTCGCTCTACCAAAATTATATATCTCTTACTGGCAAAGTATGAAATCCGGCATTCTATAGCCGCCGGCATTTTATAATCTATTCTAGTATAACCAGCATTCTATAACCTATACAAAGCCGAAAACTGGCCGGGAATGTATGAAATGAATAAACATTTCACACATTGCCTAGGCATTTTGTAGAACACCAAATGATAAACCGCCAAAGTATTAAATACATCTGCGACTCTTCGAATAACCGAAACTACTTACCAGAAGTTACGAAAGGATGTAAAAAACGATAAAATAACTGCTAAGAAGGAACCATGGGGCTATTGGTTGCTGAATCGCTATGATGTGATATTTGTGGAAAACAAAAGTGAACTCATTTATTCTGTTATTCAGTTATTTTACGTACTTACTGAAATTCATTTGGCTATTGGGCACGGAGGACAGGACACATTATTGAAGGAACTTTGAACCAAATACCAGGGAATGATATTCAACTGTACATCCACCTTTGTGAGCCCCGCCAGAAAAAAACAACAAATATTAAAAAGGGCATTATGAAACCTATGATTTTTCTGAATTTAATTCCCATTGTCAGGTAGAACTTATTGATTTCCAGTCATATAAAGAATAC